GTTACTCATAGATTAGCTCGAGTGGGAGCCAGTAACATCTCCATTCATCCCTGTCACGTGCTAGTGTAGCCCAATGGCGTCTGCTCGCTCCAGGAACACAAAGAGCCTCAAACCGATCATTCAGGGTCTTGACGAAGATGTCTCACCATCTCAAAGATGGGCAGCCACGCTATCTTTTGAAGTCCCCTGGAATCCAATCGGTAACGGCTCTAGTCCACTGGTCATCTCCAAATCGCATTCCGTGTCCAGCCCAGCTGATTTTTGATGCCATGCCAAAGAAGACAGCGTCCCTGATTCTTGATCGTCAGCGGAGGTCGGAATTCCGGATTCTTTCTCCCACTTGAGTGAAGCATGATACTCTAATCATAGCTCTTTCGATTCCTCTTTGGGAGACCTGAATAGTGTTCTCATCCTGTTTTCGTAGGGCCCAGGTCTCTGAGGCGTATATTAATGCAGGAAGAACAGTGGAATCAAAGAGATATGCCCAGAGCTGGAGGTTCTTTGTCCTCTTAGCTATTTCTTCGATGCTCTTGAAGGCGTTCCAAGCTGCTTTCTTCCTCCTGAGCAACTCAGGTGCCAGATCATTTGTTATGTTGAATTCTCGACCTAGGTACACATATCAGTTGCATTCAGAGATGTTCATTCTGTTGAGAGTTAATGGAACATCAGGAACGAGTTCGTTTCTCATAAACATTGTCTTGGTGAGATTCAGCTGCAGTCTGACCTTTCCACACTCACAGTCGAAGTAGGCCAGCAATTGTGGCTAATGTTTGGTGTTATTAGAACCATGTCATCAGCAAAGCGGAAGTGGTGTAGTTGCCGACTGTCTATCTTCACTCCCATTCCTTCCCATTCCAGTCATTGCATGACGTTCTTGAGGGTGGAACTGAAGAGTTTTGGTGAAGTGGTATCACCCTGCCGAACCCCTCTCTTGACATGGATGATCACTTCCTTGTAGAATGGTGAGATCCTGGTAGTGAATCCACAATCCAGCTCACGGAGGATCCTGATGTATTGAGTTTGAATTCCCTGTTTGACTAGGGCTTTGATGACCGCTTCCATCTCAACAGAATCAAAGGCCTTCTTTAAATCAATGAACGTTAGACAGAGCGGCATCTTGAACTCCCAAGAAACCTCAATGAGCTTGGTTACCATGTGGATACAGTCGATTGTGCTGAATCCTTTTCGGAAACCAGCTTGCTCGCATGGTTGTACTTCATCTAGTATTCTGCCAATCCTATTCAGGATAACTCAAGTGAACAGCTTGTAGATGACAGACAGCAGGCAGATTGGGCAATAGTTGCCAATGTCGTGGATGTCTCCCTTCTTGTACAGTAGCACAGTCCTGCTGGTTTTCCACTGGGACAGAACCTTGCATTCAGACAGGTAGCATGTGAAGAGCTAAGCCAGTGTATTGATGAGTACTGACGGCAGGTTCTTCAGGTGTTTGGGTCTGACCTTGTCTGGGCTGGGTGCTGTTTGGTTTTTTACCAATGAAATGGCGTGTTGGATTTCGGAAGAGAGAACGTTGGTAATGACATTTCCATCCTGTGGAATTTGGTGTGTGGCAGGTGGACGTGGCTATTCAAGAGATCCGAGTAGAGGTCATGGATAATCTCCATTGCCCTTCTGGAAGATGTGATAGATCCATCAGGACATCGGAGGACAGTTATCTTGATATTGTAGTTGGCAAAGGACAGGCAGGTGTTGCGAATGCTTTTCCCAACTTCTGCAGCATCTGCCAGCACTGCTGCTCTTCTCTCTTTGAGGTCTTCCTTTATCGCTTCTCTTCACTGCTTTGTGAGCTGGGACATTTGCTTCCAGTTGCCTAAGGCTCACGCCAAGACATGTTGGTGAGTGATCTCAAAGGGGTTCAAATATGGTTTGAACCATGGAAACACCTGCAATGGTTATTAGAGGCTGCCCTAAAAGCCTCTATCCCTCTCGGAGATCCTGGCAAGCTACCAAGAGTATCCCACCCACACGGCAGAGCCTGGCAAGCTATCCAGGGCATATTTGATATGCCAAAAACAGTAAATACAATGGGTCGCATTTCCCTCACCCTGAAAGAGCCACCAATATGGCAGTGTTAAGAAGGATGAGGAAGGAGAGGCTGATAAAATCTCAGGGCTGAACTAGGCTGCCAAAATGAAGAAGGACAAAAATGACTGTCTGCGCTTTCAATGCACATATGCTGGCATCAGATGCTTCCATCGAGGACCTGATGGTGCAGGCATGAAAGATCAAGTACAGCATCATTGTTCTGACCGAGACGAGAAGGCATCAATCACATCACACCGTTTTCGACACTGGAGAAGAACTGTTCCTCAGAACATGTGACAAAAGAGTTATCAGTGGTGTCAGTGTCCTTGTCAACACGAACTTAGCCATAAACATTAATTCATTCGAATGCCTAACAACTCGAATCAAACGATTAAACTTGAATAGATGTGGCTCACTGCCGGCAGTTTTTATCTACGGTATCTACTCACCAACATCCAATTATGATGAAGGAGAAATTGAAAAGTTCTACATGGAGCTGGAGAAGTTCTATAAAGAAGACCACACCTTCTACAAGATCATTGTCGGTGATTTTAATGCCAAGATAGGACCGAGAAGATCAGCGCTTCTGAAGAACTCCACATCGGTACTCATGGCTAGAATGGAATGAACAGTGTGAGAGACTCTCTGAATTCATCATGTCGACCAAGACCATCCTTGGTAACTCACAGTTCCAGAAGGCCGAATCTAAACGTTGGACATGGGAGTCTCCTGGTGGACGGTTCCACAATGAAATTGACCACATCATATTCAATCCACGGTCTTGCCTGACTGATGTCGCTGTTGTCTCAAAATTCCAAACGGGACCAGACCACCGTCTCCTTCGTGCAAAATTCTACTTCACAGAGCGGGGAGAAAGGGCTGCAAAGTTTAAGAAGAGAACTCCCAGAATGACCACCAACTGCAGCCACATGGGAAGATGCCGTCATTGACATCATTGACAAAGAATATGATAGACTGGTTTAGCACCTCCTTGATTGTGTGAGGAAGCTGAGAAAGAGATAGCCACAAAAAGACGCCTGTCACTATAGACCAATCATGATTGCCACTCAATGCCTCTTTTGCAAACCACAACACCCAAAAGGAGAGAGAGAACAAAAGGGAATGCCCTGCCACAGAGGCAGGGTGGGATGGGAGGTATGGGGGGGTGGGAGGGATACTGGGACCCGTGGTGGTGGAAAATGGGCACTGGTGGAGGGATGGGTACTTGATCATTGTATAACTGAAACCCAAGCACAAAAATTTGTAAGTCTACAATTGTACCTCAAGGTGTTTCACTAATAAAAATTAAAAAAATAATAAAATAATAATAATAATCAACAATTTTCCAGAAAAAAAAGATGCTTGTCTTTGAAAACTCTCGAGCTCATTTGCCATATAAGAGAATAAGAAAATAAAATAATATATCACATCATAAAATTTTCTTATAAGATAGTAAGATAGATTGGTAAGGAAGATAAAAACCTCTTTGTTAGCAGATGACACGTTCATCCCTGTAGAAAATCAGAATGAGTTGACACAAAGCCTCTTTGTGTGGCTGCAGAGTTTGTCCAGCACTAAAGCCTTGCACATGGCTGATTCAGGTTCAAACCCTGGAACCATATATGGTCTCCTGATCCCATCGGGAGTGATCCCTGAACACCAAACAAGCCTCCTAGAGTTATAATTTTTATAGAAAGATTGTAGAACATAAGGCAGTGTGCTTTTGTCATATATTAAGCTATAGACTGAAAACAATTATTATGTGTGAATATAGGTTTATTGGCTTGTAAAAACTATCATTCTGGCAGGGGAGGCATTAATATTGGGGTAAGCTGTGCATGTGTGATCACTTAGAATATAATTTTCTCTATTTATGGTTTTCAAGTTAGAAGCAAGATATTTGTATATGTGTGTATGTATATATATATATATATATTTGTGTATGTACATAAAAGGGGTGGAACGATAGCACAGCGGGTAGGGCGTTTGCCTTGCAAGCGGCCAACATGGCTGACCCAAGTTTGATTCCTCCGCCCCTCTCAGAGAGCCCGGCAAGCTACCGAGAGTAACTCCCCAGCATGGCAGAACTTGGCAAGCTACTCGTGACGTATTCAGTATGCCAAACACAGTAACAACAAGTCTCATGAAGGAGATGTTACTGGGCCCACTCGAGCAAATCGATGAACAACGGGAGGACAGTGACAGTGACAGTGATGTACATATATATATGATTTTGATCTCTTTCATTTTCTTTTTGGGGGCTGTTGGGGCCACACTTGGTGGTACTCCTGGTTCTGTGCTCAGAGATCACTCCTGGTAGGGCTTGGGGGACCATGTTGAGTGTCAGATATCAAAGCAAGGTCAGTGGCATGTAGAGAAAGCACCTTAACCCTTGTACTATCTCCTTGACCCCTTCTGGTACTTTTATAATTTCACTTTAGTATTAACTTATTTTTATTTTTTCAATTATTATTATTATTATTATTATTTGCTTTTTGGGTCATACCCAACAGTGCTCAGGGGTTATTCCAGGCTCTGCACTCAGGAATTACTCCTGGCAGTGCTTGGGGAACCATATGTGATGCCGGTGATTGAACCCGGGTCAGCTGCCTGCAAGGCAAATGCTCTACCTGCTGTGTACTGTTGCTCCAGCCCCCAGCATTAAATATTTTAAAATAGATTAAATTAATTTTTGTGCAAGGGATGAGGTAAAATTTCCTTGTGAGAGCTAAGGAGAGAGCTCAATGGACCTGCAGGAACCTGGCTTGATCCCAGACATTGCAGGGTCCCTTGAACACTGCTGGGGATGACCCCCAGGGCCCCAATAAAAAAATTAATTAATGAAAATAAAGGGGAAATGGTTTTAGTGAAATTTAATTATTTAGTTCTACTTGATTATATGGTCTATTCTAAGTGATGATATCAGGTTTTAATCTTTTAAATAATTTGTCTTTCAGGGCAGAATCATTTACCTCTTCACCTCCTGTTGCTAAGCAGTCATCTGCCCTTACAAAGAGCACAGTGGGCACGCAGACTGATTACCGGGAAGCCGATGTCCAGACAGACCCATATTCTCCAGAATATATAGTGTGTCAGGACACAATCCCTGAGCTCCTGACCCTGGCCACTCTTACTTGGGGTGAGTTGGGAATTTTTTGAACATCGGTAGATAATGGTCCTGCTAACCACACATGATTCCGAGTTCCTGGGGAAACAGACATAGAAGTGATTGAAGGAGTGGCTGGTCTAGGTGGTGGTATGCCTTGCCTATGCAGTACTCTGGGTTCATCGCCAGATGACATCAGGAATGGCCTGATCCTGGAGTAAGCCCTGAGTACCTCTGGGTTATCGCCAACAAAATTAAACAAAACATTTTTGCCTCTCTGGGATATATTCCCAGGAGTGGTATTGCTGGGTCAAATGGGAGCTCAATTTCTAATTTTTTGAGAATCGTCCATACTGTTTTCCAGAAGGGCTGAACCAGTGGACATTCCCACCAACAGTGAAGGAGTGTCCCTTTCTCGCCACATCCACGCCAGCATCGGTTGCTTTTGTTCTTTTGAATTTGGGCCAGTCTCTGAGGTGTGAGATGGTATCTCATTGTGGTTTTGATCTGCATCTCCCTGATGATTAATGATGTAGAGCATTTTCTCATGTGCTTTTTTGCCATTCGGATTTCTTCTTTGAGAAAGTTTCTGTTCATTTCATTGCCCCATTTTTGGATGGGGTTGGATGTTTTCTTCTTGTGGAGTTTAACCAGTATTTTGTATATCCTGGATATCAACCCCTTGTCAGATGTGTATTCGGTGAATATCCTTTCCCATTCTGTAGACTGTCTTTGTATTTTGGTCACTGTTTCTTTGGAGGTGCAGAAGCTTCTTAGTTTAAGATAGTCCCATTTATCTATCTCTGTTTTCACTTGCTCGGCCAGTGGCGTGGCATCTTTGAAGATACCATTAGCTTCAATGTCATGGAGGGTTTTGCCAACTTTGTCTTCAATGTACCTTATGGTTTCTGGTCTGATGTTGAGGTCTTTAATCCATTTTGATCTTACTTTTGTACATGGTGTTAGGCAGAGTTCTGAGCCTATTTTTTTGCATGTAGCCGTCCAGTGATGCCAACACAATTTATTAAAGAGGCTTTCCTTACTCCACTTCACATTACTTGCACCTTTATCAAAGATTAGATGAGCATATGATTGAGGAGAAATGTCAGTGTATTCAACCCTGTTCCATTGGTCTGCAGTTCTGCCTTTGTTCCAGTACCATGCTGTTTTAATTATTACTGCTTTGTAGTACAGTTTGAAGTTCGGGAGGTTGATTCCTCCCATTTTCTTTTTCCCAAGAATTGCTTTAGCTATTCGTGGGGGCTTATTGAGACATCTGCACTTGTTTGTTCATTGCAGCACTCTTTACAATAGCCAGAAACTGGAAGAAACCTGAATGCCCAAGAACAGATGACTGGTTAAAGAAACTTTGGTACATCTACACAATGGAGTACTATGTAGCTCTTAGAAAAGATGAAGTCATGAAATTTACATACAAGTGGTACAATATGGAAAGTATCATGCTAAGCGAAATGAGTCAGAAAGAGAGGGATAGACATAGAAAGATTGCATTCATCTGGGGGATATAAAGTAACAAAGTATGAGATTAATACCCAAGAATAGCTGAGATCAGCACCAGGAGGATTACTCCATAACTTAGAGGCCAGCCGGGTATCCTAGAGGAAAGGGCTATTCAGATAGAGAAGGGAGCACCAAATAAAGAATGTTTGGAGGATTCTCCCAGGAGGGGAGATGCATGTCGAAAGTAGACTATGGACTGAACATGTTTGCCACTCAATGCCTCTTTTGCAGACCACAACACCCAAAAGGAGAGAGAGAACACAGGGGATTGCCCTGCCACAGAGATGGGGGGATGGGGGGATGGGGGTGGGAGGGATATTATCCATGGTGGTGGAAAATGGGCACTGGTGGAGGGATGGGTATCTGATCATTGTATAATTGAAACCAAAGCACAAAAAATTGTAAATCTACAACTTTAAAAAAAATAAAATAAAATAAAGGGGAAAAAAAAAAAAAAAAAAATTAAACAAAACAACACAAAACACAAAAGGATCAATTATATAGACAAGCCTCTTGTGGAAAGCATCAAGACAAAAGATGCAGGATGCTCATAAGTAGTATAGGATTAGAAGGGGGTATAACTTAAAAAATAGCTGCACATCTTTTGCCTTATATTTTATTTTATGGTTTTTAGGTCAAACCCAGCAATGCTCAGGTCTCACTCCTGGCTCTGCTTTCAGGAATCAGTACAACCTCCTGGAGGTTGTAGGGGAACCATATGGGATGCCAGGGATTTAATTTAGGTCAGCCATGCTCAAGGCAAGGGTCTCACCCACTATCCTGTCTCTCTAGCCTCACTGCCTTATTTTAAAGTTAAATAATTGTATAACTTTAAGGGAAATATTACTGTGCTAATTTCAGGGAACAATAGCAAACTTGAATAAAACAATTAGAGAAATTGACTTGCTAAAGATTTTTTTTCCCGTTTCCACTCAGCTATTTTACCTTTACACATCTTGCCAATATTGGAAATCTAAATCTCCTTTCCTCTGATCTGCCAATTCCTGATACATTTCTTGCTGTTTGTTGAAAATTTTACCTCAGTCTGAGCTCCCAGACGCCTCTAAGAGTTACTCATTCCTGAGTTCCTACCATCTATACTGTGTCTGGCATATCGAATACGTCACGGGTAGCTTGCCAGGCTCTGCCATGCGGGCGAGATACTCTCGGTAGCTTGCCGGGCTCTCCGAGAGGGGCGGAGGAATAGAACTCGGGTTCGCCATGTTGGCCGCTTGCAAGGCAAACACCCTACCCGCTGTGCTAAATGGAATTATATAAAAAACAGTTTAGTAAAAAATAGAATACTATACAACTATTAGAAAAAGAATGAAGTCATGAAATTTGCTCATAAATGTATGGACATGGAGAGTATCATGCTGAGTGAAATAAAGAAGAAGAAGGACAGACATAGAATTACTGAACTCATTTCTGGGATATAGAAATAAATAGTATGAGAATAATACCCAAGGACAATAGAAACAAGGGCCAGCATGAATGGCCCTTGGTTGGAAGCCCTCCTGAAGGGCTGAGGAGAGGGAAGTTGGGATAGAGAAGGGACCATTATGGAAGTGATGGTTGGAATTGCTCTGAATGAGAGATGTGCTGAAAGTGGGTAAAGGACCAAACATCATGATCTCTCGGTATCTGTATTGCAAACCATAATGCCCAAAAGGGGAAAAGGAAGGAGGGGGAGAGGGAAGGAGCGAGGGAGCGAGGGAGAGAGAGGGAAGGAAGGAGGAAGGGAGGAAGAAAGGAAGGGAGGGAGGAGAAAAGTGCCTGCCATAGAAGCAGGCTATGGAAGGGGTGGGGGGTGGGGTGAGGAGGCTGGCAGGAAGGATATGAGGGATTTTGGTGGTGCGAAATTTACACCGGTAGAGGAATGGGTGTTGGAACACTGTATGACTGAAACCTGATCATGAAAGCTTTGTAACTGTAATTCAATTAAAACAAAATATTCAAGTAAAAGAAATTTGCAGGACCAGAGAGATAGTACAGCAGGAAGGGGCATTTGCTTTGCGTGTGGCCAACCCAGGTTCGATCCCTGGCATCTCATATGGTCTCCCGAGCATTTCCAGGAGTAATTTTTGAGTGCAGATCCAGGAGTAACACCTGAGCATCACTAGGTATGAGCCAAAAAAGTCTCACAATGGAGACGTTCTGGTGCCCGCTCGAGCAAATGGAGAAACAACGGGAGGACAGTGCTACAGTGCTACATTATTAAAGTCATTGTCAGAGGATTGACTGTGCTAAATGGAATTATATAAAAAACAGTTTAGTAAAGAATAGAATACTATACAACTATTAGAAAAAGAATGAAGTCATGAAATTTGCTCATAAATGGATGGACATGGAGAGTATCATGCTGAGTGAAATAAATAAGAAGGACAGACAGAGAATTACTGAACTCATTTCGTTGAGCCTTCTGTTATTGTTTTTGCTTACTGAGCTTAGTTGGTTTCTATGCTTCTTTCCTGTCTAATTTGCTGTGCACCTACTGGGCTTTTAGTATTGTGGAATTTGGAGGTGTCACAGCTGTGTACTGGGCCACATGCTCCAAGAGCTTCAGGATCTGTAGAACTGAGTTTTGTCAGATTGGCTCTCTTCCAAGATTATCCATGAAGCAGTGAAGTCAAACCGTTTGTATGGTGGAGACTGTGAGGTATGGGTTCAACTGCTGGGGCTTCAGCATGGTGGGGATTTGGCCCCCCCCTCTTCCCAGGACATCCCAGAGTTTTCACTGCTGGAGACCAGTGTACCTATGAACTTCATTGGCTTGGCATCTCTTCTGAGATCAGTCGTGAAGTTGTTGGTAAAGAAAACCTTTGGAGTGTCAGACTTACACTTGTAAGATCGAACCAGAGTCTTGCATGCATCCGACTCTGGTTAGATCCCCGGCACCTCAAGGTCCCCTGAACACTGGACAGAAGCAGCCCATGAGCAGAGTGCGGAGTTGCCACCAAGCTGTTGCAGGCTGCTCTTCACTCCTTGCTTACACACAGCTCCCCCAAATAAGAACATCCCACCTAGATAGTTTTGTAGGTGATTTTACTACTCTTACGGGGATAATTTGTTTATGCCACACTTTCTAGCAGAGAGAAAAACTGAAGTTAATTCATTCATTTTATGAAAAGCTAGGTCTTGATGTGAAAACTGAATAAGGACAGTACGAGAAAGGAAAATTGCATGGAGAATGGGCACTGGTGGAGGGATGGGTACTCGATCATTGGATGACTGAAAAGTAATCACGAAAGTTTGTAAATCTGTAACTATCTCATGGTGATTTACGAAACATTTTTTTTAAAAAAAGGGATACCTCATGGTGTTTCATTAATAAAAATAAATAAATAAATGGAAAATTGCAGATCAGTTTCACATAAAAATAGTTTTATTCTTTTTTTAAAAAAATGGAATCGTGAGAACAATTACAAAGCTTTCATGTTTGAGCCGTGGTCAGACAATGATCAAACACCCATCCCTTCACCAGTGCACATTTTCCTCCAAAACCCCCAGTA